GCTCTAACTCGATTCCTTCCAGCATCAGCACAAAAGTCATTACCCATGTTCAAACTGTTGCGTAAACATACAGATTTCAATTGGACTCCAGAATGCGAAGCATGATTTATTGCTATTAAAGAACATCTGGCTAATCTCCCAGTCTAAGTGAGACCTCAACCAGATGAAGCCTTGGTCTTATACCTTTCGGTTAGTAACGAGGCCATCAGTGCAGTATTATTGCGCGAAGACACCCAGGGACAACAACCAATTTACTTTGTCAGTAAAGCCCTTCAAGGCCCAGAATTGTGCTATCAACAGATCAAAAAAGTGGCTTTTGCGCTTATTCTAACGTCCCGACGCTTGCTGCATTACTTCTAGGGGCACACCATCAAAGTCAGAACTAATCAGCCCCTTAGACAGGTTTTGCGGCAACCTAACCTAGCTGGATGAATGATTACCTGGTCAATAGAATTATCAGAATATGATATCGTTTATGAACCTCGCCAAACTATTAAAGCCCAGGTGTTGGCAGATTTTCTTGTAGAAATGATGCACTCCCAACAGACTCGACCAGATGAAGATTGGACCATCTTCGTCGATGGCTCCTCCAATATTAAAGGAAGTAGGGCAGGAGTCATTGTTGAAAGTCCTCAAGGCGTCACTGTGGAGCATTCTATCCATTTTGGATTCGATGCTTCCAACAATCAAGCTGAGTACGAGGCAGTTCTCGCTGGACTCGCAATGGCCAAAGACTTAGGAGCAACAAGAATAAACCTGAAAAGTGATTCACAACTGGTGGTCACACAAGTACAAGGAACCTATCAGGCAAAAGAGCCGCTAATGGAAAAATACTTTGATAAAGTACGTTTGCTATTAGCTGACTTTGAAAGCTTTAAAATAGAGCACATTCCCAGGGAAAAGAATTCCAGGGCAGCCATTTTATCTAAACTTGCCAGCACAAAGGGACCTGGAAATAATAGATCGGTCATCCAGCAAAGCATTCTCTATCCAAGATCCGTGATGGCCGTAACTAAACGCAAAGCCCGTCCATATCATGATGTGCAACACATGATCATGATGATGAGATGCAACCAAACGATAAAGAAACTTGGTTGACACCAATTTGGAACTACTTGACTAGTGGAATAACGCCTCTAGAACCGCGCACAGATAGGAAGTTAGCGCGCAAGGCTTCATTTTATACCATCATCAATAATCAGCTGTATAAAAAAGGATTCTCTTCCCCAATACTTAAATGTTTGGACCCTCATTAAGCTCAGTATGTCATTACTGAGGTTCACGAAGGAATTGGTGGCCACCATATGAGGGGCAAATCCCTATCCAGAAAGCTGCTTCGCGCAGGGTATTTCTGGCCCACTATGAAAGAAGATTCTAAACAACACGTGCGACATTGTATTAAATGTCAAGAGCACGCTGATTTACACCATGCTCTTCCTGAGGAGTTGTCTTCACTCATATCCCCATGGCCATTTTACCAGTGGGATATGGATATATTAGGACCATTTCCGATTGCGATAGGGGGAGTAAAGTGGCTAATAGTCGCAATTGACTATTTCACCAAATGGATTGAGGCTGAGGCCTTAGCCACAATATCAGCCAACAAGATCCGCTGATTCTTCTATCGCAAGATCATTTATAGATTCGGTGTCCCTAATACCATTATAACTGATAATGGCACACAATTCGTGGATAAAAATTTGTGAACCACGTGTGAAAATCTTGAAGTAGTCTGTGGACCACTTGTGAACCTTCCTCTGATAGGAAGCGCAGAACTTAAATTTGTCCTTCCCTCTGAAAGAGACCCAACTGGAATGCGGTCCCATAACACTGAACAGACATAAGAAAGACTCTGGAGATTGAAAAAGACTATAGGCCTTACAGACCATCTCATACACCCTTATGAAGCCCCAGGCATTGGGAGTCAATTATGAAGGCGCCACATTTATATGCGCCATATTTATATGCGCCAGCAACCTACAGATGAAGGATGAGAAAGGCAGACGGACTCCTATTGACAAAAAGTAATGGGCATACATCATTATAAAATGTCTGGTAGACCCTTTAGTGCGCGCATAACATCCGCGTTCATTTTTAGGAACGACATCCACCTCCCACTTGTCATCATGAACTTTCTCTAGGGTTATATGGATGGCGGCCTTCAGTTGCGCCAATTCCTCTGAAGAACTGTATATCGAGGTCGTATCCAAAACAATGTCAGATACCCAGCTTAGCGATTCTTCATCTCGAAGGACACGCTTGACCGTTTCAGTAGCTTCAGGATCAAGCTGTAGTTGTTTCTTCTTCACATCAGGGTTCAGCTTCTGCTTTTTCTTCTTGTCACCAGCACCTCGCCTTGCCATGATCTCTTTTATTTTAGGCAAAATGAAATTTGATGCAGAAGAGGAGGAATTAGTAGAGGCAGACGAGTCAGAAGAAGAAGAGACAGCAAATGCAGACTTAAAATTGTCAAAATCCCTTTTCTTATATAGGTACCCCGCCGGGTAAATAACGTTTAAAGGTAAGGGGCTTGGACTCCTTTGGCTAGGTTGATCTCGCGCAATGGAAGGAGAGGTATCGCGCGATGAAATTAAGGGAGAATAGTTGGACTTTAGGGTATTAACAGACTTATAACTACAACTAGAATTTGAGGTAGAATCGCTCGAGATGAAGATAAGACTGGACATTTTAAAGGGAATTTTTGGGGAAAAAGACGAACTTTGTTGCGACAAAATTCTGGTTATCCCGCAGTTAGGTTCTCGAGAAGAGGGACCTATTTCAAATCGTCGAACAGAAGGCACACGATTATCATTTAAAGGTACTTTCTTCCGGGGGAAACACACTTGCCAGTAAGCCACGATTCTCCGGTTCCTAAAGAGCTCGACCTAGGTAAGAACCTGGGAGGTGGACTGGAGGAACTAGGTCGCTCGGCTATTCTGATAAAATTCACAAATTTGCGATTATCAGACATACCCCAAGCTCAAATGCAAGAAGAAATTAAACAGACAAAATAGAACACGAAGAATAATATGTAAAGAAGGAACATACCTGCGATATATACTTCGGATGAACAAAAAGCGAGCAGGACGTGTCAACACCGGAAGATAAATGGCAGCAATCAAAGGCAGAAGGAGAAAGGTTTATCACAACAACGGTGAGTGCTTCGTGTGCTTTCCCTCCAAACAAAGTGGCTCAGTACAAATATGAAAACTTTACCAAACGAAAACCCAAAAGGTTAAAACATGTTAAGTAAAACGGATAACATGGGGAACACATGGGAGGAAGGTAAAACGTTTACACTTTAAAACAGCCCACGATTGTCATTAAGCACCCACGTGATTACGGTGGCATTAAATGGTCTGACAATTAAACATCTAATCAACCATTTTTAAGCGGCTAAGCTATGATGATTTCCCAATAAGATTATTGCGACATCAAATAAACGCGCCCAACAACATATCGCGCCTAAAAGATACATGTATAACTCCCAGCTTTGCCCCATACCAAACCTGCGAGCTAGGGGGCAGCTGATCTGGATAAAATATGATAAGACCCATTAAAGGCCCACATACATAAGGACAAGGCCCAAACCCATAAAGCCCATGGTGAGGCGCGATGGCTTCCATCGCACATAACAGGACGCGATGCTACCATCGCGCACGAAATCGCCTTTTAACATACCTTCAGAGATAAGGAAGCTAACACAGAAACTAATAAAGGTCCACCGCGCCATTTAGCAAATAAACAGAGGACAACACCCGCTTGCCACTACTCTACCAAGATAGCTTGACATAAAAAGATAAGGCTATGAAGGTACCTGCTGAATCTGCAACCCAGGAATAACCAATCAGAGGCCATACTGCCTCCCTGAGGCGGCATTAGAATTCCTATATAAAGAAAGGGTTCATGCCCAGGTATGACAATCTAATTCAGTAAGAATACACATACACTTGCCATTGATACTGACTTGAGCGTCGGAGTGTCATCGCAGGTACCCCAGTCTGAATGACCGCGCAGAAGGAGAACCAAAAAAAAAAAAGGTATGTAAAATTTGATAAGTATTTGGAAAATGAAGGGATTCGATGAAAGCAATACATCATTTTAGACCAAAAAAAATCTTCATCAAAAGCTATATTTGATCATTGGCTGAAACTTACAGAACTTTCTTTTTTTGGGGAGTAATGGGACAATTTCTTTTTTAGAAAAAGAATAAGAATTTATTGCATTTTGTAACGTTGCTTTTAAAATTTATCTTTATGGCCATATAATCTGCCCAGACATCTGACAGCATTAAAGAATAAAACTTAAACGTTTGGCAACGGCTATTAATATAAATAATTGCATTTTGTAACATTGTTTTTCAAATTTATCTTTACGGCTTAAGTAATTTGCTAACACAACTGGCAGCATTAAACAATGAAATTCAATCCTTCCACCCATTATTATTGGGCAATGGCTATGAAAGAATTTCGGCTATTAATATGAATCATTTTGAAGGATTGGAAATCACAATAGAGATCGAAGTGAAAAGAGTTTCAAGTTGCAAAATTTCTATCTTTCTCAATCTTGAGAGATTAGTGTTGAAATGTATTTAAATTCTTGCCTCGAGAAGCAAGTGCCATTGTGTAACCTCTAAGACTATTTTAATTTGAGAGAGTGAACATATAAACTCACTAAGAGTTGAACAACTATAAATAAATTTGCCTCAACATTTATTTCTACTCTTATTTACTTGCATCATGTGCAGATTACTTATGATTATATTCTTTCTTATTATTCCACTTCATAAAATTATAATGCTTTATTTTTTAAATAAATCCAATTAATCTCTCTTTCTAGATAGCTTATCAGAAATCCATAATTCGTATATTAACCAATAGTTTGAGTATTTGATTGTTGCTAGAATTTAAAAGTAATTGTACAAATCATTTTAATGGAATCGACAAAATGAAATCACATGTTTTTTTTTTTTGGTAAGCAAATCACATGTTTCTTAATGACAGACTGAAAAAACACAATAACATACAGTCGCAAACTACTATCATTGCAACATAATTTTTAACAGTTATTTATTTTGTGTAATGAGCCAACTGTACCCATTCTCAACCATTCTCAATGGATGTCAATCCTACCATTAGTGGAAGTCACCAACACCATAGTCTCTCGCACACACGAAACTGATAAGAGCCATGCAAGGCACTAATATATAAAACATTATTTGGTCTATGACCAACCAAATACATAATCAAGAACATACACCAATGCCAGAGAGAAGGGATAAAGTAGGATAGCCATTATAGCTGTCCACAGAGGGAAGACGGTGCGGAAACTGGCAAAACCACCCATGACAATGCAAACAATGAGAATAACCAACACTTCTGAAGAGAAGTCCCATGTCAATCCCCTCACATAAACAAGGGCCAAGAAGACCGATAGGCAAAGCACATTATTCATTGTCACTGCACCATATAGCTGCAAAAACAATAGAAATCATTTTTAAATGCCTTAATTATTAAATATTAGGCGGAAAAAAATCAGAGTGATAGGCAAGGTTCTTTATATATCATACAATTAGCCTGTCTCAGTCATATCCATGGATGTGTTAGACAACAATGTAATGTTAAAAATCAAAGAAAAGTGTTTTAAGGACCAGAAAATCACTAACATGATTATGTTAAAATTAGAAGGATGTTCCTTCCTAAACTATCCCAAAATAATAAGACTTAACCAATATGTCATAAAGCTTAAAAATGCTTGGATGGCTACCATCACCCAAGAAATCCCAGGACAACCAACAACTAAATTGACAAAAACTACTAGTCTGCCACTTCCTACACCAGTACTACCGCTGCAATCATCACTGCTATACTATCAATTCCCAAAGAGATACCAGTAATTTGGAAAGCCAGGGCATGCGGCCATCATTAAATTAATTGGGTAAGAAAATATACAGTGTAAAAACCATGAACAAACACAACTATGATGATGATGCCAACAAATAGAACTACCATTATCATCTCTTATCACAGCAGCCATTCAAACATCTAATCGGGGACTATGAAAGTCAAGGCTTAGGAAATTCCAATCTTCCCAACCCCAAAATCTCATCAGTAAACATTACTAAAGAGAATTTGAAGTAACTACAGGAAGGTGCAATTTCAGATACACTCTCCATGGTGTTACATTTGAACATGAGTTTATCTTATTATTGTCCTCTACTCAGTTCACACAAAATATTTATTGTTGGAATGCATATAAGTGTCTATATTCATTGTATAGGCTAACCAAATTCAGTAGATTGATAAAACAAATGACATAATTTGAGCGAAAGCTGATTTCAAAATGCTTTATAGTTTATACTAAATTCATGCATACTTACACCTAAAAGAGATTAGAAGTGTGAAAGGAGAAAACAAACCTCCGAAAAAGTCAATGAGGCAGTTTTCCTCTTGTCACGACTAGCAAAAATTATTGCTGACACTGCTTCACTTGAATTAGTTGCAAAAGGCAGAGCAATGAAGGAAATAAAGAAAGCAGGAATACTTGTAGCATCAGAAAAGTTATCGACTGCATCAACCAGAGGATCAGCAAATGCACCAGCAATAACAGCACCCAGTACCAGCAGTAACACTGCTTTGATGGAAGTCCATCTAGCATTTTCACTACCCTCAGCAACTTCATCATTTGGATCTCCCGCACCCACATCCAGAAGATCATGTTCCCTCTTTGTTTCCTATGCACAAAATCCCTATAAGTCATAAGCACCAAAAAGAACAAGTTCAAGACGTTGAGCATTGCACAACTTACTGTGTGAAAATCACTTAAAAACTTCAATGTGTGGGGACCAGCATCTGGTGATGCAACTCGGGAACCCCTAGCCTTTTGAAGCCATCTACAGATGCCATTAACAAATTCTTCTTCTTCAACAAGTTGATTTTGAGAAGTATCAAAATCCTCAATTATTCTTATCACAGCATCTTCATGATCCAGGTCAATCTGCTCAAATTGAATTCCAACAACCAGCGCTCTCAATTCACCATGAGTAAGTTTCTTATCTTGATTTTCATCAATTTTGGCAAACAGCCTGTATATTCCATTGAGAAGTTAGTGACAACCAAAGGATGCGAATATGAAAAGAACGCAACAAACTGCTTGAGAAGTAACATGTCTTAGGTCAAGGTAAAAAGGAGAGATAGCCTTACTTTTTAATAACTTCTTTGTCCGGTTCACCATCATCTTTCAGCAGCCGTCCCAATGCATGCTTCTTCAAATGTCTCAAAAATCCTAAAATAACATGTTTGTGTTTAACATACTTAAGCTTTCTCCTTTGTATCCAGGGCTGGAAAATCTGCACCAAATTTTCTTTTTCTCAATTTCTATAAGATGCATAAACATTAGCCAGAAGTTTAAAATAATGGGGCAAGTATTCATCCACTATACAGTTGCTTAAAGTGCTAACTATGGGATCCAAATATATATATATATGGGCTTAACATTTCTGCAGCAGCCGTAGATAGTGTTATCTACAGCTGACACAGAAAAGTGGGCCCCACGGCTTTAAAAAAAAAAAAAAAAAACTCAGGATCCGTTGCTGTATCCTTGGATTCGGACGTGTATCCTTGCTTGCTGTAGGTATAGCAGCTGCATAAATCATTTTGCCTATATATATATATATATATATATGTACCATAATAGTTAAACAAAATGGTGTTGGCTGATGAAGAAAGAAACACCTATTGTAATGCACAGGAAACACAAGTACACCATAAAAAGAGAATTACCTGGTAAAGGCAATAAGTAATCAATAGCGCGAGAGAGACAATAAGAGCAATCAAAACAGCCAAGTGCCTTCCTGAAGTAGACTTGAGAAGTTGTGGTAATTGAACAATCAAAAATGGAAGGACAGATATAACCATAATCCTTGCAGCATAACTTGTCCAAATATCAGTACTAACACCAGAACCTGCACATGGGAGACTTTAGTAGACTAAGCAGCCAAATGAATCAAACATTCCAGACATGTCAAAAGTTCAATACAGCTGCACATGTACAGACATCATGTTTTAGAAATAAATTAAGGGAAAAATGTTTCTGCAGTTAATGCAGATAAGTTATCTGCATTTATTCCCAAAACAACGTCGTTTTGGTATTGAAATCTTAAAAAATTATAAATATAAAGACTATTATAACCCTGAAATAAATTAAAATTACAAAAACACCATGATTTCCGCCTCAAAACGACGTCGTATTGGGCTTACTGCAGATAACTTATCTGCAGTAACTGCAGAAAAAGTGAACCCATAAATTAATAATTAAATAAGAAAATGGTGAATCACAATATGGCTTCAAGTAGTACCCTTCTCAAAGTCCCAAACTATCTATTCTATAACTAAGACAACAATAATGATTTATGCACATATCTGGTTGTTTGAAATGTATTATATAATTTGTGGTCCAAAATCATGGTGGAAAGGTACTCGCAGTTATTACTAAGTTCGTTCTCCCAATTATTACTTCTTGTTAGAGATGTTTTGTGGGAACCTGAAGGGAAATAAAAAAAATTGAACTTCTTGAACTTCAATAATTGATTATCATGACTGATAATTGACTATTGTAAGTTTTAGAAGCTTAGAAATCTGTTTTGGGGGATAGGATACTGGATTATCATAGGTATAGTCAATTATTCTGGAGCTATACCTCTCAGTTTGAGCTCAATAATCGATTATTCATTGAAGGAAATTTCAATTATACTCTCGGGTCAGCTCAATAATTGATTATTCAAGTCAATAATCAAGTATTTTATGCAGAGGAAAAAAAAGCTGTTTTATATTGGTTGTCAACAACAGATTATTGTTGTTGATAACAGATTATTTGCTATCAAATAATTGATTATTTCAGTCAACAATCGATTATTTGCTGCCAAATAACCTACCATTTCAACCAAATAATCGATTATTTGTTGAGACCAACGACTTACAAACCCTTCTGGAAGGTCAAATAATCAATTATCACTGCAAATAATAGATTCTTGGGTGTTTTAGAGAGAGAAAAATCTGAGCCCTATGGCTCATTTCTGTTGAGTGAAAAGGGAAGAAAAAGGAGAAAAATAGAAAAGAAAAAAAAAACTTGGACAAGAATCAAAGCTAGATATCAAGCTAGGCAACTCTAAAGTTAAAGAAAGTAAGTCTGAAGTTATTTCAAGATATGGTTTGTTTTCTATCAAGCTTAAGGCTAAGTAAAACAAACTATTTATCTATCTAGAGAAATCTTAGGAAGAAGAACCAAGCTAGAGGAGGTATGAAGGGATCAAAATCAGCGATTTCAAGGTGAGTTAAGGTGCCTTTGTGTCTAGAATTTAGATAATGATTCCTTGCATGGAATACAAGTTTACAAGTGAGAATAGGAAAATAAAGACGAGAATTAAGCTCAATCACTGTTCTAATGAAGGAAAATATGAAGTTGTGATAAATATATGCTTCAAATGAGAACACAAGCCCTAATGAATTTTGGCCTAAATAGCTCATTTTAGAATTTTCAGAAAAAATAGAAGTAAAAGCAATTGATGAAATAGTCATATGTTTGTGATTGTCAAATCACTTAATTTCATGCTTTGGCATGTGATATCTTAGTTCTAGCATACTGGTTTCTTCCTCACTAACTTTCTCAAATTCATCCCCTCTTTGTTATTTTATTATCTCAGGAAATGGCTAAATTGAGCCTCTTTAGGCTCCCTTAGACTGCTGTTTTTTTAAAAAAAGTTAATCTGAGTAGTCAATATAGAGAAGTAAATGTTTTCAAATATCCCTAATTTTGAACATCTATGCATCTTTGGTAAATTGTAAGTACTTTGAAATCATGATGTGATTTAAAAGTTTGATTTTAAAAGTTTTGCCTTTGAAATTAAGGAGATATCCCTGGTTCTTGCCGGTCATGAATGCTTGCATCATGACATGATGTAAAAGTATAAAATCATTCATTTTCCTTCACCTAATAGCTCAATATTGTAGGATAGTTGGTTCATGACATGTATAAGAATCTCAAATCTTTTCTGTCCCCGTTCTTCTAAATTAAAAAACTTGAAATTAAGCACAAGATAGGTGGATCTATACATTATCCATGTTTCAAGCTGATGGGCTCTTCCGTGAGGGGTCATGTTTGAGATACTATAAAAATATATTCTTAATGGATAATTGAGCAGAAAGTTGATTGCTTGGATGACCACAAAGAAGAAGAAATACTATATTCTTAATGCTTTGGGCAAGGATAAATTTGCTGTACTGACTCTCAAAATTTTAAAAATAAAACAATTAACAATACCAAATGACATACCAGTTAAACTAAATCCCCTAGTGTCTTGTTCATCGATTGCAACTGAACCCTCAATGTCACACTTGCCAACAATTACGCAGGTCCCCCATATTATAGTCAGAAGCAGCACTGTTGACCCAGCTAGCAGGCCCATTCCAACAGACACCTCACTCTGAGCAGTTTCTTTATTACCTGAAAGCCCAGACACTAGGGAAAACAAGAAAGACAGATTAGAAATGGAAAGGGAAAAAAAGGGGCAAATAAAAGCACTACATTAGAGACAAAAAGAAATTACAAGAGAGAAAAAAAACCCAAAGCAAATATTATGTTACAAGATTAAAGATCGGTGAAATTTTGATCGTAAAGGAATCATAAGAGAGGTCTCAAAGCAATGGCTGCTAGTGAACTAAACCTGAATCAGTTAAATTCTTCAATTTATGCCACTATATGACGGTTAAGAATTGAACGGTAAATCTAAAATTTCTAGAATAACCCATCCCTGATGAGCTACTACTTCTCTCTCTCATACCTTTAGTAACAAAGGCAAACATGCATCATGAACTAGTATTTTACAATTCATTATAAATAAATAAATAAAAAAGAATTTAAAATAACATATCAAGTGAGAGAATCATAACCATTTATGGACAAGTTAAGTGATGAGAGATAAAAGATATTATGAGTGACAAAAGCATCTCCGATGATTTGACCATAAATGATTAAGATACTCTCACATGACATGATCATATTAAATAATGGGTTTTATGTTTATAAATGATTAAGATACTCTCACATGACATAATCATATAAAATAATGGATTTGATGTTTGTTATGTTACATAACATAACTTTATTTTCCTACCCACACAACAAAAGAGAGAGAAAGTGAAATGATGAAAGAGAGAGAAAAATATGTGGACCCCACCTCTTTGTTGTGTGTGTAGGAAAGTGGAGTTATGTTATGTAACATAACAAACATAAAACTCATAAATAATACATAAGTGGATCCACTCGCTCTTATAAGCGAAGATCATAGAGTCCAACTAAATTAATCACTTGGGTTTGTTTGATTGTGTTCTAATTTTTTTTGTTCTTAGAACTATTTTGTAGATCAATTTGTAAAGATTGTTTTGTAGAATAAAAGAAGAAAGAACTTGTTTGATGACAATGTTTTGAAAATAATTCTAAAAATTGAAGAACAATAAAATCTGTTTGAAGCGAGTGGATGCTAAAGCAGTCTTTTTACTGTTGAGATATTCAAGTGTGATGAGTCTCACATTGGTTGGTAATGAGCTAAGTGAAGAGTATAAAAGTGAAAGGACCCATGAACCCAATGCCTTAAGGTTTTGGGTTGAGACATGGTGTCGGATCCACTTGCTACGGTTGGTGTAGCCTTAGCTCATTGGTGGTGGCCCCCCGCCATGGGCTTTCCCTGGACCCGCTTGACATTGGAGTTTGAGGGAACGAATTTCCCAACAGTGGTATCAGAGCCGGATTGGGCTCGAGCTAGCCTAGTGATTGGATAGGAGGCGGGTCGAGTACTTTGCGCTTCGGGTACTCAGTTGAGGGGGAGCATACCAATGGTGGGTTTCACACTTGAGGGGGAGATTGTTGAGATATTCAAGTGTGATGAGTCCCACATTGGTTGGTAATGAGCTAAGTGAAGAGTATATAAGTGAAAGGACCCATGAACCCAATGCCTTAAGGTTTTGGGTTGAGACATAGTGTCGGATCCACTTGCTACGGTTGGTGTAGCCTTAGCTCATTGGTGGTGGCCCCCCGCCACGGGCTTTCCCTGGACCCGCTTGACATTGGAGTTTGAGGGAACGAATTTCCCAACATTTACTGCTCAGGCAGTGAGAGACCCAAAATGCTCTTCAAATTTCTATTGTTTTCAATTCTTACATAATTACTATAAAAAAAAACACTATATTGCCCTTAATTAAAAATCTGTTCTCCGTGTTTTTTCATGATTCAGAGTCAAAATCCAAAAAACAGAACAAAAACATCTATGAGATGTTCTCTGATTTTAATTTTAAAAACTAAAACACAGATATAGTTTTTAGATACGTTTTCATAGAATAACCATTATCAAGCAATTTTTTTAATTTTTTTTTTTTGTTTTCAAAACTAAAAAATCAGTTTTCCAAAACAGAAATCAAACAGACTAAACTCAAGAAATAAAGAGGCGTGATGTATTTTCACAAATAACTCAAAAAGAGAATACACGGCCAAAAAGGAACAATAAGGTTCTGATTCTTCCGATTGGTAGTGGATAAACAGGTACATTCAAGACAGTAACGGAATCACTCCACTAGTAAGACAAAAAGAATCAGAACAACACAAATCATCATTCCACAACCTAAATTTCAAAATCTCAAGCCACAGCCGTTCAAATCTCATATCACATAAACAATTCATTGAAATTCCACTCCAGCATCATAAGATCAAAGCATATAACTCTTGAATTTTCAAAAAAAAAAATCAAAAAAAAAAAAAAATGAAAGAAAAGAATTATTGGTAGCGTAAGTACCGAGAATGAGCATGGCATCGGGGAGAGCACCGAGGATAGGGAGGAACAAGCCACCAACGATGCCAGGGCCCAAGATCTCAAGCAAAAGCTCACTACCACTAGACAAGTAGGTTGCAGCCTTGAACATGAGGAAGCCATAGATGATGATGAGGAACAAGTTCCCGAGAACAGTGGTGGTGCACGGTAAGAACCCGTAGGACTGCTCGCAGGTGGATTCCCCCATCAACTGACTCGGTAGTCGGAGCAGGCCCAGGCCCACACCCTGGCCCAATCCCTCCACGCCATCAGAAACCAGATCGCGAGCGTGTGCGTGACCGCAGAGGATCACGATAAAGAGGAAGAGAAGCGTCCGGTGGGAAGTGTAAGAAAAAGACATGGTTACGGTTACGGTGGTTATGGTTATGGTTATGAGAAAAGTGTTGAGTACAAGTGCGGAATGAAAATGAAAATATATATAATTGAGACTTAATGTTTCAATTTCACATCGTTTTCCATTTCGTGTCTTATTTCATAGGGTAAACTTTATTGCGAATCAAGATAGAAATAATAAGTACTACATAGCAATGCATTGAATTGAATGGCAAAAGTGATAAGAGTCACTGGGTCAGGTAGGTAGGTGTAGCAACAATGTTGGGTGGACACGTGTCAACATCGTACCGTACCGTCCTTTTGCTTCACCCTACTGGATATTTCGTTTGAACCTTATCGTTATTCAATGGTGGAAGTTGAAGTAGCTGATTCATTTTATTAATAAAAAAAGAGGGGGGATATTTTCACTACCAAAAGTATCCACTACCACATTACTACCTATCAAATCACCATTGGATCAAAGAGTGAAAATGTTAAAAAGTTTTTGAAGAGAGAGAAAATGTTAATCCAATGGTGATTAGATAGGTAGTAAGGTGGTAGTGAAAATTTTTGGTAGTCAAAATATCCCACTCTAATTATAAATATATATTTTTATTTAGTTTGAGCAATGAATAATTTGTCAGATATGGTATTGAGGAATGAGGATTCCTTTTCGGTGAGATTTTGTATATGTGAAAGAAATAAGGAGTAATTGTTAAGTTTCCATATAATATTTCTTCGAATAATAGAAAGTGTTAGGGGAGTGAGATTACGAATTCAAAATACAATTATGCAAGAATCAGTGTTTTCATGTATGTTTTAAATGCGTTTTTTTTTTATGTATGTACTGAATATGAATAAAATTTAATTTTGATTAGTGTAGGATTTTTAATATATGCATCTAATAATGCATCGTTACTTCATTCGATAATATAATATTTTACTTAATTATTAAGAAAATTAAATTCACTAAATAAATTAAGGGTTCACTTTTTCTGTAATTACAACAGATATATTATCTGCAGTAAGCCCAATACAATGTCATAATGTAAAATTAAGTGATAATGTAAAATTAAGTGATAATGTAGAAAACTATGTTAATAATGTATTTGTGCAATTAATTTTTTTTTTTTTGTTTTTTTCCCATAAGTCCATAACTAAACAGAAAGAAAAGAAGAGCTAGTATTGGTTTTTTTTTTTAAATATTAATTGATGTCGAAAGTCTTAAGTGGTGTTTGGTTGAGAGTTTTTCAGCGGATATCTATCTTTCTCAAGTATGGCTTTTAGAAACATCATGTTTGTTTCAATGTTTTTCACCAAAAACGCATATATCCAATTTGTCTGGATTTATGAGAAACATAGATATCCGCACTGTTTAGAAACCCAATTTGAAGGTGGGATTTTTCAGAAAATCGGTTATCTGGCTTTTAATGCACTGTTGATTTCATAAAGTTACCTAATTTTCCTAGTAAAGTTTTTCCCCACCAAACAACTTTTTTTTACATTTTTTTACCTATCTCACTTTATCTATCTTTTCAATCATTTCTCTATCTATCTCATTTCCCTACTATTTCAAAAAAAATTCCTGAACCAAACGCCCCCTAATGAATTTTTCAGTTCTCCATCCTTCTCATGAGTTGAGATTTTCAAGCCTTTTCGGGTAGGTCAAATTTTGAAATTAAGTTGATCAATAATTTTTGAATATATTATTGTTTTTATTCTATCATTATGTAACAATTTCATATGAGTCAAATAAAATTATTAACATTTTTTGTTTTTTTGAGGGGGGACAATAGTGTATCTTTAAATTAACTTTTTACGTAGATTAAAATCAATTTTTTTATAGACAATCTTAAGGAGATATTTCTCACATTGATCTAATGCACTCAGAATAATTAATCTTCCTATTAGATCAATATTTGAATCAAAGTAATTAACACGTTCTGATGTCTTCCAATGTATTTGTTAGTGCTTCTTAATAATTAAAATGTATGTCGAGGCATAATAAAGCGGGTGCATATAATGTTAGATTAACTAACGTTATCACTTCCCTAATAAATCCTCAAATATCTCATCTGGCATCTCATGAGATTTTTTAAAGTATTGCGTGGTAATTTCAAAAGGTATCATCCACCTTATATATCTCTTGTTAAAAAAAGGAAGAGGAGAGAAACTTACCTCTTAAGTAATAAGCTTTATGTGAATTTGTTAAAGTCATAACATTTCAATGATTTGAGCGCAGAACCATAATAGAAAAGAAAGGTATCCTATCACCAAGAGTGAGTCTTTGACACGGGATGCTTTGGTATCTATCTTAAAGAAAGATCATCTTATTAAGTAAGCCGCGTCATTTATCCGGTCGAGATATTGAATTATTGATTCATTGATTTAATAAGTAGGCTACTAATTTAATCATATGACCTGATAAATATATAAATCTATAATTTATATTAACAAAATTATAAACATATTCATGTAAAATGATAATTCTAATTTTAAGTATTTTAATATAAAAGATAATAAATCACATATTACTATCAAACAAATAATCAAATAAACAATGTATTAAAAAAGAATCAAATAAACATATAATGTTTGTGTATTAATAAAAAAAATAATTAAATAAATATATATTTTGTTATATATATTTTTATTTTTATGTCCTCAAAATTTTTAAATCGACAGGAATGATAAAAGTAAAGGCATTATCATACAAGAATAAGATAATGTCAACTGACTTAATAAATAAAATAATATTGCTAACAAGAATAGTAAGGGAGAATGATCTCAAATTATTGAACAAGAATTAAGATATGAGTCAAATGATTACACTAATGAAGAGAAGAATAACTAATTTACACTTTATTGTGTATTTTGCTAATTAGATCTTTTTGAAGTTTGGATTTATATGATATTAAGTATATTATATATTTTTAAATTATTTTAATTATATTTTTATATCTTACTATTCAATATGACTGATACAAAAAAATTAGCCAAATAAATTGTGATATATATGGCGATTCAACAACTTTGTTTCAGATAGTTAATGAAATGCTAATTAGATTTTTGTAAGATTGTTTTTAAGTTAATTACGATTATGCTTTGTGGGGCTTGATGACCGATTGATTAAACATGTAGTCTATGTCATTCTATATCGGATTCCATGTGAATGCATGCCCTTTTCATCGTAATTCCAATAAAAACGCCATTGATCGTGACTTTTATACGAGGAATAGAATATTCGACTATTCGTAGATTGTGTCAAACATGTATGATCAATTTTTGGTAACGAAAGGGAAAATTTCCATAAACTAAAATTAAGGTCGTTTTTGAGCGATTCTTTCCACATCAATATAGTGGGTGTTTATAAAATTTAATTAGGTGTTAATCCAGAATTTGTGCATTAATAGTTAAGGCAAGAAGCGTATTTCATTAACCATTTTTTCTTCTTTTTATTACAACATCTTCTTAATCACTATTTTGATGATATTGCGTTATTTTTTGTTTTTGTTTTTTAAATTTGCCAAGGTGTATTTAAATTTTAACTTTTTAATTTAGAATTTGTAATTATTAGGACACACCAACTTGTTACGAAATTATATTGATAGCCTCTACTCGTGTTCTAGCTCGTCGGAGAACTAGATTTGCCTCAATTGTTTGTCTCTTGTCCTTAGCCTTATTCAAGTTAGCTCCTGCTAGTTCAAGAGTTTGTTGTGCTTCTTGCGGACCAATATCACTACCCCTCTCTGCATCATTTACTAAAACAGTGATTTCATTATTGCCTATTCTAGCAAAACCTCCCATTAGAGAGACCAATTTCATTGGAAATATTAAAATTTGTCTATTTGAAGTATGCGTTTTCCTATGTTTAACAGAATAAATATTTATTCAAATATTCAACATATGTTATTTGTTATTTTTTATCACTAGTTAATATTAAATATGAATTTAAAAAATGATTAATAATTCATTAGTGTCATGAAATAATAAATAAAAAAGAACTTATCTAGATTACCAAAAAAAAGAACTTATCTAGATAAAAAAAATGGGCAAAAGATATAGAATAAGAGATATTTCCAGTGAGAAATAAAAAAATTGATGATTTTTGGTAGCAATGAGTGACTATAAGTCTGAGGAATCAACTATAATTGAATCAACTCGAACCGACATCTAAGGACTAAGGATACTATGGCAAACGCGGCAAACCCGCGTTCCGAACGCGTTGGGATTGCGACCTCCACTTTAACTTTTTTGTCCTTTTTTCTGATAATACTTTTTGATAATTTAATAATAAAGTCTTTTTTTAGTAACTGAAAAAATATAATATTTTTTAAGAAATGATCTATTTACAAAATTTTTTTTTTACAAACTTACAAATTAGTCTAACCAATACTCTACTCAAGAGTGTATTACCGGTCAGACATAATATAGTTTGTAAGAATTTGTAAACAAAAAAGTTTGTAAATATAAACTTCCACATGCTTTTATTAAAAGAAATAATGTTTCTCATATTGTAGGAAATAATTTTATTTTGTACATACACATGAAAATTTGTGGGATTTATGTGGACCCATGTATAATACCGGAGTATTACAGAGTTCATTTTCTGATACACAGGATAGATCCCTTTGCAGAGCAAGTGTAGAGCATACTAATTTTCTTATCCAGAGATTAGCAATTATAATAAGGGTTCGTTTTTTCTGCAGTTACTGCATATGAGTTATCTGCAGTAAGCCTATATGACGTCGTTTTGGGGCAGAAATCATGATGTTTTTGTAATTTTAATTTATTTCAGAGTTATAATAGTCTTTATATTTATAATTTTTTAAGATTTTAATATCAAAACGACATTGTTTTGGGAATAAATGCAGATAACTTATCTGCATTAACTGTAGAAACATTTTTCCCTTATAATAATAACATTATACTAAGCTTTCGGAGAGAAGAGAGAACTTTTAGAAACTCATGAGGAAATAACATACTAGTTTATTTCTTGCAAACTTGTTCTGCCTTATACAGACACTGAAAACTTCCTTTTATAGGCAAAGAAGAGATCTATGTTGGACCGACACTGACACGGGACACGAGATACGACACGACACGATACTCCAATACATTAATTCTAAATAATGTTAAATTTCGACACGTTAGGACACGTTTTGATATTATATAATATTTTTAAATTATGTAGTGTACATTATA